GCAAGAAGCCACACTTTCGCTATGGAAAAAATTAGTTCCCCGATAGAGCGCCGGAAATGGAGCCTAGGTCTTGGTTAACGCCTGAAAGGCGCTTCGCCTTACGTGCGTACGGAGTCACACTAAGTAGTCGGAAAATAAAAAACACAACCATAAGTGAGTTTAGTACCTTCCTTAAAAGTAGCAAATCTAAGGAACACTTTCTTTTACGGTTAACTCTTTTTTACCCTATTTACGGCTAACGGTTAAAATTTTTCAATTTTTACGGCTATCGGCTAAATTTTTGGCCGTTTTACGCCTATCGGTTAACCCCATTGAGACCCTCCCCTTAGGGTTACTATTTTTACTCTCCCTAATCTTCCTCGGTCATATCAAAGATGGTGGTTACAACAGTACGAACATAAACAGGCAGATTTCGCCCGCCCAAAATACGCCTGCACTGCAGGCTACGTTGGAAGCTTCTACCAATTCTTCTAAAAGGTGGCGATCATGACTCGTAGGGGAACTGGTGGAATGTCTTGGGATTCCTTGGAAATGGAAAAAAGGCCGCCACAAATCCCAGGGGCGCGTGATTCGTCCGTTAGTTGCAGTTGTGCTGGATGGGCCTAAAAAGGCTCGCTCTGCTCGCCGAGAGGTCGACTTGTAGTAAGTCTAAAGGTGTTGCGGAAACTATTTCGCCCCGGGAAATTTTTGCTTGTGGAATCTGGAATCCGTTAAAATTATGCTAGTAGAATCCGGATTCCTGGGCTTTGGAATCCCGAATACAGCTCGAGGAGTCTAGAACACGTGTTTTGCCACGGAATGCGGGTCTTAAGACGAAAACAAGAAAGTGTGATCATCGCCTCTTAGTCGATCTTGGATAGGTCGAGCGGAATCCCTTTGAAATCATTTCTGAACTTTGAAAGAAAAAAACTGTTGGGTTCCAAACTAAAGCACAAAGAAACTGAAAAATCGATTTTATTTGAGAGATTTGGTGACCCAAACGGGAGACCAGGAGATTCGCATAGCGCCGTATCAAGAGACTTCAGGATAAGCCGGGATTCATAGCTGGCGTTATGTAGTACTACTACCAAGGTTCCGATAAAAACTGAAACGGTAGCATTCATCGAATTGTCGGCGCCATATATCAATATAATTTTGCTCAGGCACCTTCAACGGGAAGGCTTGTTAACTTTAAAAAAAAAAATGGTTTGATGTCTTTAACTAACTATATTTATATACATCCTATCGCATGTTTCCAATATATTATAAGTGGTAAATAAATTAAAGTCCAACTGTATCCATAAGACGAAAAGCGCAACAGACGTTTGAACACGTTGTAAAAGTCAGCAGGTATAATATTTAACTCAATTTCAAGCAGACCTAATAAATTTGTGTAGATTTTACTTAATAAATCGAACTATTTTCACTTTTTAGATGTTTAGTTAACACGTACCAGAACCAAGGAGGAACTCGAAACTAATTGAAACACCTGAAGCGAACAGTTGGGAAACTTCCGCTCTTGCTGTTATTTAAATTCAGGGTTCCTGATAAATTAAGTTATTTGAAGCTTATAAAAAGGTAATATTGATAATTGATCATGGGCAACACAAACACAGTTCCTTAAATATACACCAATATTGTTAAAGGTAATATTTGTTTTCGTGGTGATTTTTTGCCGTGCTTGCCGCTGTTGTCTCGTCTCCTTCATGATCACGTCTCATATTTTCGCGCCATTTTCGCGGATTGGAAGACTTCCATATAAGGAATGCGGAAAACCAATTGCCTTGTCACGACAGTTCCCGGATGTCGGTGAATAAGTAATGAAAGGATATGGCGGCGCGTGTATCGTATTCTGAGAGGAAAACAGTCAACGAAAGAGCTATTTTCCATTAAAATACGAATGATAGCCATTCGCTGGAAGAGTGACTGGCTTATGGCGTTGAATCACTGACAAATCTGCTTATAAAGGCGCCGTTTCGACTTAAAATACGGCGATCAGACTACCATGAGTTCCAAAGTTAAAGTCGCAGTTCGTGTCAGGCCATTCAATCGGCGAGGTATGTTTGCCTTACTCTTGATTGAAAACCTCGCAATCATTTTGCCTTTAACAAGCTGAAGTGGATTACCGTCTGTTTTTTTTAAACAGAAATTGAATTGGGTACCAAATGCGTCGTCGAAATGGATGACACACAAACGATTTTATATTCCACCGCCGGCTCACGAGACAGGTACGTAAGCTAAGCTCATAAGAACGTCTTTGCGACACGTTTTTATTTGTTTTTGTATATTTTGGAAGTGATTACCTATGGTTTCATGTATTTTTACTCCGATCTGTCTGGTGCACTTTCTTATTATAACCAAAGTAAAACTGCCAATGGTTGCTTTGATTTTTAAGGTATTTATTTATTTTAAGGAGGCGTCCTAGTTCAACGTAGTTGCTGAAGCCAGTACCGTTATATTATTTGTAAGATTTACGACAATCGTATTCAGCTGTCCACATTTATTGGAAATGACTCTCTTTTTCTTGTTTTTATTTTCTCCCTTATTTTTCCAGGAAACGACTAAACATCCTTTGATTAACGGAAGCGTGACATTGTTGGTCAATCGACCGCTCATTTGCAAATTTCTCGATATTTCCTTTTTTGCTGCAAAAATTAAGCTTTAATTTGATAAAGTAATAGAATGTCACAGATTTGTCAGGTTTCATGCTAACTTGTATCTCTCTTTATTTAAGATACGATTGATTCATAGGTGTCTAAATTGTTCAGTCGCCTACATAATCGGTATTGAAACCAAGATATATCACTGTTATCGTGTTTATTATCGCTATATATCGTCGGAAAAAATAGCACGTTGCCTGCTTTTTCCGTTTGTCTAAGTCGCTAAAGTTATTAAGCGTGTTTTCTTTTCCACCTGAAGTAAGCTCTTTGGAATTTGCGTTTATATTCATTATAGAAAGACAATCGTGTTGATTTGTTTTACTACTTCAACTACACGGGCTTCTGAGCATAAAATTATATCGTTTGCAGCAGTGTTGTTTTTGAAATTCCAATTAATTTCAGGGCAGCTATTTAATTAAAGTTTTAACGATCTCACCGAAGGATGTACTAAAAATATAGCGTCTTGATAAACTGTGTCGTATTGTATTAGGACAGGAAGTTGTGTTTAGCTTATTGAAGTGGAAATTATCTATGCATGCAGCCTTCGAGAATGTTTCCTTGCTGCCACTTATCACGAGTTGTAAACAAACGATTCAAGGCACATTGCCTTTATTTTAAAATATAAACATATGTAAATATAAAAGGCCTAAAAAGTAAACATTTCACCATGCAAGAGTCTTATCTTTCCAGTGAGATATTTACATTTCAGAGTAGTTCACAATTTATTTAAATAAGTTGAAGTTGCATTGTAATCACGTAGAGTTTGTTGCTGCAGGCAATGTGGTAGTTGCGGCAATTTTTGGCGTTCTTTGCTAAATGAGTAAAAGAAATCACCGATATTTGTTGAATATGTTGATCTTACTTTATACGTGATGCAATGTAATTTGCTAACGTTGTATTTTTGTCTTTATTTTCCTATTTATTCGTGGATTATTAAAACAGGAAGCACACAAAGGTACTATATGTGGAGGATTTTTTTAAAAGTTTGTTAATTCCATTTATGCAGATAAATATGTCCCTGTGCTATAAATGGGACATATTTTAAATGCATTCTTGTTTATTATTAATGTTTCTGCATGGCTGCAAAGTAATACTGTACGATGTTTCTTCAAACTACGTGTATATACTGTATTCANACATTGCCTTTATTTTAAAATATAAACATATGTAAATATAAAAGGCCTAAAAAGTAAACATTTCACCATGCAAGAGTCTTATCTTTCCAGTGAGATATTTACATTTCAGAGTAGTTCACAATTTATTTAAAGAAGTTGAAGTTGCATTGTAATCACGTAGAGTTTGTTGCTGCAGGCAATGTGGTAGTTGCGGCAATTTTTTGCGTTCTTTGCTAAATGAGTAAAAGAAATCACCGATATTTGTTGAATATGTTGATCTTACTTTATACGTGATGCAATGTAATCTGCTAACGTTGTATTTTTGTCTTTATTTTCCTATTTATTCGTGGATTAAACAGGAAGCACACAAAGGTACTATATGTGGAGGATTTTTTAAGTTTGTTAATTCCATTTATGCAGATAAATATGTCCCTGTGCTATAAATGGGACATATTTTAAATGCATTCTTGTTTATTATTAATGTTTCTGCATGACTGCAAAGTAATACTGTATGATGTTTCTTCAAACTATGTGTATATACTGTATTCATAAACTATTATGTAACACTGTCTCCACACTAACTACATGTAGGGGATGTTCCTATTGTATCGTTTTTCTTTCTTTCTTTTTTTTCCCTCTGGTAACCTGAACTACTACATTATAGTGTTAGACATTGTTTAAAATAATTCTCCACTTCTGATTTTGCTTTATCCTCAGGCTATTCTCTTATTAAGCTAGGGGTTGACCCAATTTAGAAGTTATTCGCTCTAAATTTATGATTGACACCAATCATGAATTATCACACTTAGGGCCAGTTTACATGGAGGTGAGGTAACCCGCCTGTGCATATGCCGATAATCTTTCATTTTAATTTGATCACGTTTACATGATACGTGGGGTGACCATATGATAGATTATATGAACAGGTGGGTCATCCCACCTTAACAGGTTACCTCACCTACCTCAGGTCCTCCACTTCCTTGTGAACAGACCCTAGAAATGGTACACAGATGTTAGGCAAATAAGTGGTATGTGGTTGCTCAGGTGTTTTAGCTGTGCAGACTTGGTGAAAATTGGAGAAAATTTCACGTTATTTAAAAATGAAAAGCTGAACTCAAAGCTGTTCTCTAAGAAAAAGTGAAGGGAGCCCAGTGTTCTGAAGCTGTGAAATCCAGGGTGCCCAGCATATGAATTTCTGTGAAAAAAGCTAAGATTTTCTAGTCGCATGGTTGCAAAAGTTAGGCGCCAGGCGCCACCAAGACTTTCTAGAGCACAGCCTTAGAACTACTGCCTATTCAATAATAAAAGGAATAATATGTGCAGAAAGAAGAACTCCAAAAAAATTCTGAGTTCTGCATGGGAATTGAACCCATGACCTTCATTCTGCCAAAACTCGGTCAATTTCTCAGTTCTTGGTTTCTAGAAACTCCTTTATGTGTATCCCAAAACAACACTGAATACCCTTCCTGTCTTATAATAACCTTGAGTTTTAAAATGTCAGGGATTATTTCAATGAATGTCTTTTTCCCTATGAGGTTTGAAAGGTTGAGATTCTACATTTCTGTATCCTACAACTGTGCCTTAAGTTTTAGACCTTGTAATGACATGGGAGCTTTGAAGTTGATTAACCCTTTAAGTCCCAATAGTGACCAACATCAATTTTCTCCTAACAATATCCATACAATCTCAAGAGATTAGGTTATGAGAATTAACAAAATGATCACCTAAGAGACAACGCTTTCATCTTTTATCAATTTCTCTCAACCCATCCATAGTATAGAGATCAGTTTGGAGAATTTGTATGTGGATAAAGGGTTAAGAACATGTATCATTTTTTTTCTTTCCTTCTAATAGACATTTGCATTTGATCACTGCTTTTGGTCAATGGATGATTCTGAGGGCAAATATGCAAGTAAGACAAAGTTTATATTAGGCATTATGTTTAAGATCTTAGATCTTGCATGTTTCAAAGGCCCAGAACTCCCTGATTTTCTCCTTTGTACAGATTTTGCCAGTTCAGTCAATACTTTGAACTTTAGATCTGTACTCTGTACAGATATATTTGTGGTTTGAAGATTTGTCTTCAGGTTGTTTTCTTAGACAAGAAACTTGCTCCACTTTGTCTCTCTTCACCCAGGTGTATGATTGGGTTCTGGTGACATATGGTACTGCTTGGGGTAACCCTGGAATAGGTTGCCATCCTGTCGGAGAGGAGGGGTGCGGTGTTTTAGCAAAACTCCTTTGTGCAGAAACTGGGATGTACTCTGGCTGTATAAATGCTGATCATTCCCTATATTCTTGTAACCACCATGTTTCATTTAACAGTGATATTTTAAGGAGAAACTTGATGCTGATGCAGGTGTGACTAAAGGAGTTAGGACAAGGGTTAGAGTTTGAGTGACCCATTCCTCTCTACGGATATGGATAGGTGAACTAGTTTACCACGCAGTCATAAAAAGGGCTGCCATAAACACCCCGATATGATAATGGCATAAACTGTTCTACCCGTGCCAGTAGCTAGCATTTCTCTTGGATAAGAGGCAATCTACCAATTTTTTTATGGCTTTGGGTACGGGTAATTTACAGGTGTACCTCTACTCATGCATGAAAACAGTGTATCTTAGGTCTCTTTTAGTTACACCTACACACTTGTATGCTGTAAAGTAATCCCTTTGGCCAGAATGTTTTTGAGGTTTTCTTTCTTTATACTTAGGCCAGGAGAAAGTCTACAAGTTACTTGGTTCAGATGTTTTGGAGAATTCCCTTGAGGGGTATAATGCCTGTATTTTTGCTTATGGGCAAACAGGTAAAATTACGTGTGTGTACAGTACATAGTGATATGATCTGTGATGTAACATGATAGCGAGATGCAATTGAACAGGTGCCTGGAGCAAAGCAAGTGACTTCTGATAAAAGACTATTATCTTGTATATAAATGTACTTGCAAATCCAAGAGAGAGATGGATTTGTGTGTTGTATCTTTAATAGTCTCATAATATGCAGCTATGATTTATTGATCACCCTGTCTGATACATTTTGAATGTTTTAGTTGTGTTCTTAAACACAGTACATAATGATTGCTTATTTTACAGTTGTCTGTAGTCAATAAACTCTTAAGTTTATGTTTTACTTTTAATAGCATACCGGTGAGAAATAAATGGAATCCTTAAGAAACTTTTCTGGTTATAATCCTGTCAGATTTTAATTGATGATGATTTTTTTGAGTCAATCTGATTATTTCTGATTATCAGTTTTTAAAAATCTTAACTGATTCCGAACAGCTGTACAGTATTATTATGGTTGAATCTCAAAGGGGTTTGTGGTAACACTGTAATATCCTGTCATTTACACTCAAAGTTAAGAAAAATACTAGTTCACAGCTACACATGTCTCTAAATGTTTACAATTAAATTAACTCTGGGAGCTTATGGTTTAAGATCTAAAGGGCTATGATACAATAAAGTAGAACCTTGATAACTCGAACTTGGATAACTCGAATTCCTCTCTAACTCGAACTAAATTTCCCTTTTCTCTTGATCACAATTTCTCTGAAATTTACCCCGATAACTTGAGTTCCCCGCTAACTCCCACTGTTTTTTGTTTCCTTTCAGAGTTTGAGTTACAGGTGTTCTACTGTAGTTTAAGTATATGTAATAGCTAAATGTTGCGTTTCATACTCCATTCAAGGTTCTGGGAAGACTTTTACCATGATGGGAAGCCATGATCAAAACCAGACAGGCCTTATACCCCGGCTATGTGATGAGCTTTTTGATAGAATTTCAAAGGTTAATATGGAAAAATTTAACCATTTGTGTTATTTCATTACATGTATTTATTTAGTACTTATGCTGTGCTACTTACAATGTCGCTTTCCAGAATGATGATGAGAACATTACATACAAAGTTGAAGTTTCTTACATTGAGATCTATAATGAAAAAGTGAGGGATCTGCTTTGCCCAAGAGGGTATGCAACTAATAATTTTTTCAGGTTTTTTAATTCTACGTGCAGCTAAATAATTATTCTTTTCACACTTTCCCCTTTATCGCCTTGAGTATTTGTGCATGAAATCCACCTCACTGATCAATCATTTGCTCTACTTTAATTTAGAAATCATGCTACCTTAAGAGTCCGTGAACACAAGATTTTAGGACCTTATGTTGAAGGGCTTACAAAACTCGTTGTCTCCTCTTTCAAGGTGAGTAAAACATTGTGATTTTAAGTTTTTCTTTTCACTTTGTTTATTGAAATGTTTTTTATTTCCATTTTTGCACGCTACTGGTTTACTGGCACCTCTGTTGTTGAAGAATTTCCCCCTATGCGAAAATCGAGCTAACTTTACACCAAAGTGGAAATTTATTCCTTTCCCAGGGATGGACCAGTATTCAGGGTCTTAAAATAACTGAGAATTGGAGGTACTTCCGTTGTCCTGCAAATGGCTAGACCTTTGCATGGCTCTATTGACCTCGTAAAATGGCGGTCCCATCTCCACAAGGAGATATAAAATTAATGTCCTTAGTTAGTACTTTTGTGCTACAAATGTGCTCCATCCAATAATTCTTTGTTTTCTGATTTTAAATGTGGGTAACTAATCTGATATGCACTGTTTTTAGGATATTGAAACTCTTATGATTGAAGGCAATAAATCTAGAACCGTTGCTGCCACCAACATGAACACTGAAAGCAGCAGATCTCATGCTGTTTTTAACATTGTGTTGTCACGATCAGAATATGACAAAGACACAGAAGTAAGTTCAATGGCTGAGCCAAATAAATTATTATTTTTTGCTTATAAAGCTGCTTACTGCTTTTAAAGCTGCTTAATTATCAGTAAACAATCAGTTATTATTGTTTACTTTTGTCTAAGATGTACACTAGCATATCTTCTTTTCTCATTTATAGTCAGTCGGTGAAAAAGTAAGTAAGCTGAGTCTTGTTGATTTAGCTGGAAGTGAAAGAGCAAGCAAAAGTGGAGCTGAAGGAGTGCGTTTAAAGGAGGGCAGTAACATCAACAGGTAAAAAAGCACAATGTGTGTATGGAAGATTGGTGAAAGGCTAGGATGTCTGGGGGCCTCAACTGTGACCAGGCAGCCCCTAGACAGAGTACCCCTTCCATAGCTGGCAATCTCTGCCACCCAGCCATGAGCCCCCACACCACACCAAGTCGTCCAGGCATCTATAACACCATGTACACAATGGAAAAATAAGAGAATGTGAAGGGAGAGGCAAAAATGAAGGCAAAGAACGCATTGAAAAACATCACCCTTCAGTATGCTGAAATATGCTTGGAGGCTACAATGGAAAATGTGAAAGGATGTGCCAAACTCTGCTGCTGCTGACCACCATGAGCATACAGTCCACTCTCTTTTAATGGACACCTCTGTAAGACAGACATCTCTCTAAGATGGACACCTCTTGTTGGTCCCGGCTGTTTTTCAGTCGTTTTAACGTAACTATACTCTCTATAAGACAGACCCTTTCCCAAAATGGACAACCGACACTTGAGAAGTGCTTTATCAGTGAAAAATACCTCAAAACAGAAATGTTGGTGCCCTACATGTCATTAATATTTTGTAACTTCTTACATTTGTATTCCAGTTCGCAGAGTGTATACTGTTACGTTTTTAAATGGCATTCTATTACAATGTTTAATTGATGTATTTTAATATTTATTGCGAATGGGTTCAGCTTTCTTTTTACTGTTGTCATGTTACCTCGACTCTCAATAAGCCGGACACCTAGATCTAAGACAGACAGTCCGGGCTGGTCCGGAAGGTGTCTGTCTTTGAGAGAGTTGACTGTATCGGCTGCTCTGTTGTTAATTGCATTTAACCACATGAAAAAATTGCACTTGTTTGGAATTATCAAGTTGTCTTGGGATTTTATCATGCTTTATATTCCATTCATAAGTTTATCGTTATCTTTAAGATCATTGGTAACCCTGGGTCAAGTCATTTCAAGTTTAGCTGATCAGTCTGGAGGTAAAGGAAGAAAAGCAATGCATGTTCCGTACAGAGATTCAGTGCTCACATGGTTACTCAAGGTAATTGCTAATTGTTAATTCCTGTTTATTTTTTTGCATTCTGACTGCAGTTGCTTCATTGAGTTACTTTGTCACAGTCACTAGGAGGGATGTACACTGTTGAAGTTACTGTTAGTAACTGTGTGATGAGGCAAAAAAATGTTCACAATATAACTTTGTATAATGGTGATTGGCTGTAGGAGTTAAATATTGATCCTCTCTGATCCTTTAAGACAGAACAGGAATAACATAGCAGGGTTGTCATTAGTAGCCGGCTATCAGCGAAAATCGCCACCCACATGGTTAGTATTAGCCGGCTACTCTGCTTGGCATTTCTTTATGGGTGACGTTTTTAAAATAAAATATCCCTGGACTGGCTGCTTACTTTGACAACTCAGTTGTCTACTTCAAAACTTTCTGACAACCCTGACATAGGAAACACTTCCGTACATATATACATGAAGGCATACATTGTAAAGTACTAATTTGAGATAAATTGTGAAGTGGCCGCTGAGCATGATTAATATTGGGCTATTGTGGCTGTATTATCAGGATAACCTTGGTGGCAATAGTAAAACTGTAATGGTGGCAACAATAAGTCCTGCTGCTGATAACTATGAAGAGACACTGTCCACTCTTCGCTATGCTGATAGAGCAAAGCGTATAGTGAATCATGCTGTCGTCAATGAAGATCCAAATGCCAAGGTATTTATTATTAAATTTTTTAGTTTTACATGTAAATAGCATCTTGCAATACTGTACAATGTGGTTGTGGAGTCCCCTGGTTCCACAGGTAACCCTATACAGGTGTATACATTTTATATGATACTTGTAAAATTAGGTTCAACTCTTGAGCTTATATGTATGTGAAATTCATTTTCTCTAAGGCTAGAAAATATTTCTTTCGTGTATTTAGATCATTCGTGAATTACGTGAAGAAGTTGATCGGTTGAAAAGAATGCTGGCAGCCAAGATCGCTGGGAAATCGCATATTGTTGAGCCTGGAGAAACGACGATTGAAATTGAAGAGATGTTGTCAGAAAGTGAAAAACTGATGAGTGAATGCACCATGACCTGGGAACAGAAGGAAAAACAAACAGAGAAAATCCAACAGGTAATTTACATTGAGATTTTCTTACAGGCTCTTAATAGTATAAAAAAAATTAATATTAAGTGAAAAATGACTAATGGCTGGCCTAGAATCCCTTATATTTTGTGCCTGAAATTTCCTAGGTTTGAGCATGCTCTAGCAACTAGCTAAAAATTATTGGTTTAACGGTTTTTCTGAGTCCAAGCCTTGGTCATTGTTTGTTGATTCCCATCCAGTTGGATTTTTGACTTGATGATTTACACAATCTTTCTGAATGGTGTTCTACAGTAGCAGCACCCAGTGGCTCCTGAAATAATTTTTTTACTTTTGGGTGACAGGAAAACTGACACAAACTTTAAGTAGTAGTTGCACTGAATTTATAATTTAGGCACTTTTGGGCTTCTTGCAATTTATTCTTGTTGTGCAGTCTTGGAAACATTATTTTTTAAAATTGTTTCCAATGATGTGATTCAATGTCCCTGGTTAAAAAGCCAGTTACTTGGTAATTGAGCATTTAGCAAATTTATTTCCTGTATTTGTTTACTTTATTTTTCTCGTGTGTGTTTTTGTAGGAGAGACACAAAGCATTGGAAGAAATGGGTATCTCTGTACAGTCATCTGGTATTGCAGTAGAAAAGTCCAAATTTTACCTTGTTAATTTAAATGCTGATCCTTCAATGAATGAGCTGCTGGTGTACTATTTAAAGGTAATTCTCTTGTTACATGGTCACTGAACTGCGACCTAATTTAACATTCCCATACAAGCATGAATATTTCAGGCTTTCTTTTCGCAACTGCAAAAGTTGCATCTATAACTTTGATGATCTTCTTTCATCTAATGATTCAACACTTTCACTCCCTAAAGTGGCTCGAGTCAAAAGTCAACAAAGGGCGTGTTTTTTTTAAGGAAAATCCAAAAACAGATTATGAATCCATAAAATTTCTAAATAATTCATTTTGAAAAAATGCAGAAAATCAGATAGTACCATGTGAAAGTACATGTACTGCTGAAGAAGTTTTATTTGAATGATCACACCACAGGATTTCATCCGCAGACTCAAAAGTTAGAACTACATACTAAATAAATAGTACGGTGTGAAAGTACTGTTGAAGAGGTTTCATTTGAATGGTAACGTAACACCATAGGATTCTATCCACAGACTCGAACGTTAGAACTGCATACTAAATAAATAGTATCATGTGAAAGTACTGCTGAAGAGGTTTCATTTGAATGGTAATACCATAGGATTTTATCCGCAGACTCAAAAGTTAGAACTACATACTAAATAAACAGTACCATGTGAAAGTACTGCTGAAGAGGTTTCATTTGAATGGTAATACCATAGGATTTTATCCACAGACTAAAAAGTTAGAACTACATACTAAATAAACAGTACCATGTGAAAGTACTACTGAAGAGGTTTCATTTGAATGGTAATACCATAGGATTTTATCCGCAGACTCAAAAGTTAGAACTACATACTAAATAAATAGTATCATGTGAAAGTACTACTGAAGAGGTTTCATTTGAATGGTAACACCACAGGATTTTATCCACAGACTCAAAAGTTAGAACTGCATACCAAATAAATAGTACCATGTGAAAGTACTACTGAAGAGGTTTCATTTGAATGGTAACACAGTAGGATTTCATCCACAGACTCAAAAGTTAGAACTACATACCAAATAAATAGTACCATGTGAAAGTACTACTGAAGAAGTTTCATTTGAATGGCAACACCATAGGATTTTATCCACAGACTCAAAAGTTAAACCTACATACTAAATAAATAAAATAGTACCATATGAAAGTAATGCTGAAGAGGTTTCGTTTGAATGTTAACACCATAGGATTTCCTCTGTGTATTAAAAAGTTAGAGCTGTCTTTTAATACTCAAATCACTTGAATCACTTCTCAGCTTGTTCAGGTAATAATTTGGACAAAGTCTGTAACTACATACAGTCATGTACATGGCAAAGTTGGCTCATCTATCACTGTGTGGCTGTACCTATTAAAGTACATTGATGTTTATCTTTCACCTNCCACAGACTAAAAAGTTAGAACTACATACTAAATAAACAGTACCATGTGAAAGTACTACTGAAGAGGTTTCATTTGAATGGTAATACCATAGGATTTTATCCGCAGACTCAAAAGTTAGAACTACATACTAAATAAATAGTATCATGTGAAAGTACTACTGAAGAGGTTTCATTTGAATGGTAACACCACAGGATTTTATCCACAGACTCAAAAGTTAGAACTGCATACCAAATAAATAGTACCATGTGAAAGTACTACTGAAGAGGTTTCATTTGAATGGTAACACAGTAGGATTTCATCCACAGACTCAAAAGTTAGAACTACATACCAAATAAATAGTACCATGTGAAAGTACTACTGAAGAAGTTTCATTTGAATGGCAACACCATAGGATTTTATCCACAGACTCAAAAGTTAAACCTACATACTAAATAAATAAAATAGTACCATATGAAAGTAATGCTGAAGAGGTTTCGTTTGAATGTTAACACCATAGGATTTCCTCTGTGTATTAAAAAGTTAGAGCTGTCTTTTAATACTCAAATCACTTGAATCACTTCTCAGCTTGTTCAGGTAATAATTTGGACAAAGTCTGTAACTACATACAGTCATGTACATGGCAAAGTTGGCTCATCTATCACTGTGTGGCTGTACCTATTAAAGTACATTGATGTTTATCTTTCACCTCTGTTGTTTTATGTAGGTTCAATTCTTGGTCCCTATGTTCATATTGTCATATGTATCAAGTTTGGTGTTCGTTCTCTGACCTCAGCCTTTCTCCAAGGATTTTTGTATGATTTGTTCAAAATCTGCCAAACTGGTGCCAGTCTTATTGTTTATTTTTTATTTCTGTTTGTAGGAACACACTGTTGTTGGAAGACCAGATGGAGTTCATAATCCAGTAAGTTGAAAAGTTTTGTTATACTGTATGGCTGTTTCCTACGAAATGTGTTTTTATTGAACCTTAAGCATATTTTTGGCTCACTCAGTGATTTTGTTTTCAAAAGGTTTGGTGAGACTGCTTTATTGTTCCTGTCTGTGGTGTACCTCAGTAAGTTTTTGGCCAGCAGTCAAACAGTTAAAAATCATGTTACATTTTATCATTTTACAGGATATTCAATTGAGTGGACTTGGAATTTTACATGAACACTGTCAACTTGATATTGAAGACAATGAAGTTTATGTTACCCCACTTGCAAAAACAGGGTATGTATACGGAAAGAAAAAAAAACCTAGCTGGTTTGTTAATTATTTTGATCTGGATTGAAGCTCACTTCTTCATTTAGATTTATATGCCTACAGTTCACATCATCTTCATTCTGTTTTACTCTTTTCACCAACATTTTATGTAGGGTCTTCATAACTCAGTTGGTAGAGAACTGCAGCACTAACACAGAGGCCATGGGGTTCAAATGCTGTTCAAGCCCTGTTTTTATTGGGGGGGGGGGGGCGTTGAGGAAGGGGCTAATTTGGAGTTGCCTATAATAAATTGTGAATACCATAGTGATGATCTAATTATTCTTACATTATTTGCATTATGACAATAGAACTTGTGTAAACGGTAAACTTGTGGAAGAGAAGACTCTTCTAAAGCATGGTGATCGCATCCTCTGGGGAAACAATCATTACTTCAGAATAAACTGCCCTCGTCCTCCAGGTTTGTTGCTTTTAAGTTTAATTGTTTAATGTAACTTAACTCATCTGCTACCTTGTAAAGATATACTAAACGAACTGGCTTGTTTTACAGTGAATCATGCTACTTATATGTCGGAGGTTTTGTGTGAAAATGATAGTTCTGACATTTTATTAATTTACCATATATATATTCTTTTTCTGCAGGGAGTGAGCAACAGGTAGAGCAAACAGTTGATTTCCAGTTTGCCCAAACAGAGCTGATGATGAATGAGATTAGTTCAGGTAAAGAATGTTTAGTTTGTGTTGTTGTTTCAGACTTAACTTGGGGCGCTTTCCGAAAGTCAGAACTGGCCAGGCGGATTATAGTCGGACCAGTCATTTTGACAATGAAAGAGGCTTTTTCCAAGAGCTTTTGCTGAAAAACCACCTCCTTCCTGTATACTATTTAGGATTTGACTGATCTAGCACGATAGTTTTGAAGGAGTGGTCTGGCCGGTTAGTTCTGACAAATGGAAAGCACCCTGAGATCTCTTGTCTTTGTCTCAGTTATTGTTCTCCCAGGGCTCGAAAAAAATTTGAATGATTCCAGCTTGCCCTTTGGGCAATCAGCTCTCACATTTTACTCACAGGGGTCACTTCCTGTTTGTCTTAGTTAAATATTTTGTTAGAGAATGATTTTCTTGGACCCTTGCCCACCTACCTCTCCCCTAAGCCAACATTTTGCCCTAAATAAGAAGTTAATGTTGGATTGGGTGGGGGGGAGGGGTGGGTGCTCAGTTTTCCATAAACTTATAACGATCCGGACCTTTTTCGAGCCCTGTATCCCCTTAAGAATCCAGCTTCCCTTAATTGAGAGCATCATTAAGTTGCAGTAATTCTAACAGTGTTGATTTTTCAATTTTTACAGGACCCCTTAAAGATTCTGTCAAAGCTTTAGAGGAACAGTACAAAGCCGAAAAACAAGGTACGCGGTAGCTTGAGCTCCTTTTAATTACAGTCAAACCCCTGTAATAGACACTAAAGGGCCATAGAACTTGTCCGTATTAAGTGGGTTGAATTTATGGAAAACGTAAGGGTTTTCTTTCCCCAGGGACAAAGCAATAATGTGATATTGAGGTATCCTGTGAGGCAGGGTTTGGTTGTATATCATTTTCCATTGTCCTTCAGTTCCGCAGAACCATGCGTGGTGAGGGACATCCTCGTTACCCTAACCCTTGACAACTGTACAGGACTTTTTTCGAGCACTTTGAAAGATCTCTGTCCATGATTAAGCAAGTAAAACAGTTAATATTAATAGGAAAAATAAGGGACCTTTAGAAAGCGTTCAATATTAAAGTGTTTTTCCATGCTAGGATGTTAGTTATAAGTAAATAAACAAGCACTAAAGTGTTAAAATGAACTACATGTACCACTTATTATAGTTATAACCTAACCAAAACCGAAAAGACTGTTCTCTTTAGCTTTTCTTAAAGTTATTGTTAAAAGAGCAAGTGGAAGAGTTGTTTAACTAAAAAAAAAACATAAAATAAAGCAAATATGTTTTACTGCATCAGCACAAAAACTTAACAGCAGATTTAACTATTTTCAGGGGCGTTAGATAAACAGCGTCAAATGTATGAAGAACAGATACAAGAACTCAGAAACCAAATGGGTCCACGGCAGATCATGGAACGGGCGTCAAGCATTGGTTCTTTCAGTTCAGGATATGGTTCATCTCGAGTGTCTTGGATTGAAGACAGGTAAGGAGAACCAAAGTTAAAACTGGACTTTTTTAAAGAAAAAATAACGATAAAAACCAGCCATGGCCTGAAGTGTTGGTGTTAGTGTTTAAATGAGACGAGATCAAGCAAAACTAACTACGAGAGAACAACTTGAGAACTGACAATTTGACTAACAATAGACGACTGTTTAACTGTGACAATAGACCGATCGAAACGCACCAATCACTGATTACGAGTCTTCATAGCCAGTAACATCACGGCTTAACTGACAGACGACCAATAACATCGCGACATAATTGACCAATCAGATCAATAACCAGAGTATAATACCATCAACTGACGTGATACAACTCACTTTGACTCTGAAGATGACTACCGCACAGGTTGTCGAAACGTCAGTCACTGTCAACAACAACAGCCCTATTCTGGACTACGTTCACCCGGACGATCAAACTCAACCTTTTGAAATGAGTCCTGGGTTCAAACCTTTCAAAGTGTTTAAATGGTCCAAAAATCACGGTTCAAGGCATTATTTTGTGACCAAACATTTGCGTATTCTTATCAATCAAACGTCCAAGGGAGACGTTAATTCTGTTTAAACTGCACTTGCCACAGAAAAGACTGCAACAAAATTTAGTGTTTGTAAGAGGCATGTTGTTAAAGCCTGTCTTGACGGTAACCTTTTTTTTCACTTTTGGAATTACAAGGTTTATAGTACATGTAGCTTGAAAATTTAAAAATGTATTCCTTTTTTCTTTCTTTACTAGTAGGGAAAACTTAGTCCAGTTTGAAAGAAAACCTTTGGTTTTAAGAGAAGAGGTTATCAAGGCTAATGCTCTCGTCAGGTGATTATGAACTCATCTTATTCTTGTACACTTGAAAATTTACTGCCCAGGTACATACATAACCAGATTGAATTTGGATCAGTTGACCAAACGTTGTATGTGTTCAGTGTTTTAATTTCTTGCTTCTTGATTTTTCTCCACGCTTTTTTGCATTCAGGGAGGCAAACCAGTTAAGCGAAGAGATGGGCAAAGAAACTGAATTTGCCGTTACACTACAGGTACAATTCCCAAACATTTTTGCGCGCAAGCTAATGTAAGCCTTTTCATTTAGCATCGGCATATCGTTTATAAGCGGGATTTTATGGCAACTCAAGTTTCTTTGTAACAGCCTGAGCGTCTGATAGTAGCTTGGGAAAGTTCAGAGTTGTTCAAATTTCAGGCTTCATCCACGCTGATGCCTTGTCAAAAGTATACTTAGGGATGTTGTTGTCATCGAAAACGCGTCGATGCATTGGCGCCTACACTACCTTTTTGAGGCGGTTTCAACAGTCCACAGTAAAACGTTCGGAAACGATAGAATCGCACGTTGTGGCGTAAGTTAAGCTCTATGCGCATGCTTCAAACACACGCGCCCGCGATATTTTCGGTCACCGTTTTCATTGTGATGCGTTTGCGACCATCCACACGAATACGGTATGTATGTGTTTTAGTTTTGGCCCACTTTCAAGAGCGTTTTCAAATCGATGCGTTTTAATAGGTGAAAACGCTCAGCGTATTACTGTGGACGGAAGGCCTAAACGCATCGAAATGTGTCAGTGCGTTTTCAAATTAAAATATATTAGTCTGAACAGGGCCTCGAAAGCCTTGAATTCAATTGCTTGCTTTCTACTTTTGCCAGATTCCCACATCAAGTTTAAGCTTTGGTCGAAGCAGATCAGGATTTAGCAGTGAAGTCGCCATTGTAGTCAAGCACAAATCTAAAGGAACCCAAAGTGAGTGGACGTGATCCCTGCCTGTAAGCCACTAAGCTCATCTATGTAGTGTACCTTAACCTTTACTTTCACCTAACCTCTTCGTGTCATGTGGCACATATGGCCTCAATACTCTCCTACCAATTGGCTTTGTTGGCCGCTGTGATGTTTATTTCACTGCACGTTTTCCTCGAAGCTCTTTCCCTTTCTCTCTGTCGTCCTTCCCCTTGTTGTCTTTTCTGCTCCGTAGTTCTCACATTCTTGTTTCCTATTCCAACGTAATCTTTTGGGGTCATAAGTGGTTTGGTCGGCACAGCTGTTGACTACGAGTAGTCCCCATTTTTCCTAAGGGATAGTAGAGCGAGCGGAACGCGAGCGCCCGTGAAAATCCCCCCACGTGAGAAAGTTGAGACGCCTCTCGGCTTCTCGCGTGGGGTGATTTTCACGCGCGCTCGCGTTTCGCTCGCCCTACTATCCCTGAGGGATAATGGGGACTACTCGTAGTCTAGCACAGCTGTTCGGGTCACTGAGACACGCAAACCTCACCACCAGGAGAAGGTGCCACCCAAAAGTGGAAAAGGTCTACTATATCTTGCTATTAATTTCCTTCGCAAACGTTTTTTTTTCAGTTTGGTCGCTAGAGAAACTTAACAACAAGATTTACGACATGAGAGACTTGTACAACCAATGTGTGGAAGATGGCATTCCCTTCTCTGAAACGGTATGTTTAGACTTATATGTCTTGTTCACTTGGTGGGTTTTAAAATAGAAGTTACATTATATGGTGTAAGTCACCGAGCCAGAAATAGGCAAATACGACCCTATTTGGTAATGGTAAATTTTTTCTTTAACTTTGTTTTGTATCAGGGAGGGAAGGTGGAGTTTGTTGGCGGGGGATGGAGGGGGGGGGCGGTGGTAATGGTCGGGAACTGGGTGGCTTGAGTTATTTATTGATGGACCACTGCAAGCTTTATTTTGGACTTGTGGAATGTGAGCTGTAAATTAGATCTGGCAAGTATAAGTTGTAAATCCAACGTTTTATAACACTTAATGGTTTGATTTTTCATGTTGGTTGCCCTGCGAGTACGAAGTTGGGCACGTGCATGTGGTTCAATTTTATTTTTGGTTTAAGTTTTACTTTCCTTTGTTTTTGGCTATGGTAATATGGGTTATTAATAAATGATATGGATACTAAATGAAATGAAATTCATACCAGAATGCATTAAACCACAACATATATTTCAAACCCAACTGAACTGAACAAACTTTGTGTTTGTTCCTTAGGATGAAAATCTGGATTTGTTCTTTGAGGTCGAGTGCCACACGCTTATTGGAGTAGCCAATCTCTTCCTTGAATGTCTGTTACATGACGTGAATCATGAGTACGCTGCACCAATCATCAGTCAACAGGGCGAGGTAAGAATGAATGAAATTATCTTACATTTAATATAACAATAACAAAGACTGCTTCAAGTATGGAAGCAACGTGTTGTTCCTCTGAAATGTTGGCTCAATTTTAAGTGACAATGAAATCCCTTTTTTGCAGGTTTGTGGTCGCTTGAAGGTGGAAGTGTCCAGATTATCAGGTAACTTCACATGTCTTTGTAATACATTGACTTCGAGATACGAGATACTGAAATGCCGTTGTTGCAGAACATTCTTACTGGTCCATCCCATCATTGCCTGAGAGCAAACTCTCTGTAAGGCGAATATCGTGAAAAGCAAACGCGAGCAGCACGCGGAAGGAGAGTGAGGGGCGGGCGCGTTCTCTCACGGATAGTTTTGCTCGCCACTCGAAATGGAGAACTTGCATACAGGCCATCCCCCAGGGTTTGACTCCCTAGGATACTGTTGAAATTGTGTAATTTCAGGAAATATTCATACCCCCGAGGGAGAACACTTTTGTTTTAGACCCCCCTCCTCCCGGGAATTTCCATTCCATAGGGTGTGGGTCATAGCCTTCCCCGCCCGCTCAACTCCCTCGAATTTTCTTGATTTTCCCACTGAAAAGAATATTTTTATTCAAAAACTGCAGAGAATGAAACTTGTCATTTTTTGGCCCCATGCTTTCTCTCGTTTTTAATGGTGATTGAAAAGCCCGAAATTCCTTCAGCAGTCTTCTATGTTTTGTGTTAACAGAGAAAGCCATGAGGAAATTGTCGAAGCAGTCCAGAGATGACGAAGAGACGGGGGAATCCAGCGCAGACGAGGACGATTTGTTAGTCATAAACGACGAAGATGACGACGATGATGAACTCGTGCGAGGGTCTCCTATGCACGTCGAAGTGAAAGTGGTAGAAGCTTACGATCTTCCACCGGCGCTGTGCAATTATGTGTTTTGTCAGTACAAGTTCTGGAATGATGATAACACTATTGTTGTACCGCCCATCAATGCTAGTATCTCAAACCCTGGACCCAAAACCAACACCATGATATTTGAACACAAGCAGGTAGGATTGAATATGGCGCGCTTTTAAACTCTATTTTCTTGTTTCTTTTTCAAAAACGTTACTGGAACATTAAGTGAAAGAGATGCAGTTTACACGTATTTGCATTAAGTTTTGATTACATCATGTGTTTGTTTCCGCAAACCGAAAAAGTTGTCAAAAATCTGTAATTAGTGGCGTTGGCCCTTGGCGTTGTCTTGTACGTAGAGCAAGTTTAACTACATATCGTAATCCCAATAGCGAGCCTAAGCAACGAGAGCGCTGATGTCGGGGTGGTTATGAATGGCAAACAGAATTTTGGTGTTAACACAACTGAGTCTGAACGCATTTTTGATAGTATGACTTTATCGAGTCAGAGGGCTGAACCAGATAATATATCAGCTTGTGGCTGTTATTTCTGACGTTCAGAACGTCAATGGTCTGGCTATTTAACGTCGCTGATTATAAACAAAGTTAATACACTGGCCAATCACGATTGACGATCTTACGAACCAATCTGAACAGAAAGCATGCGCGTGTAACCATCGCCAAGCGCCGAAAAAGTGTGCGACCAGTTCACGATTGCTTCCGGTTTACTTCTGATTGGTCAAGAGACCGGTGGAGATTTCTTAGCCAATCATGTGATGTGACGTACTAGTTTAGAAACAAAGAATTGGCAGATATTACTTTTCACTTCTCACTTGAAAACTGCTTTATGTATGTTATTTTAGCAATTCGACATGGAAGTCACAGAGGAGTTTGTGGAGTACGCATCTGAGGGATCGCTGGCTATTGAAGTATGGGGAAACAGGATGAAAGGCTTTGACTCACAGAAGAATATGATGGTCAACTGGAATGTGGAACCACAACAAAAGGGACTTCATGACAGGTATCAAAAGAGGGGCATGCGCACTGGGGTTTTGGGTTTTGTGTTTGGTGTGAAAGGTTTCATCCCGGGATTCATTTCAAGTAGGTGGAGCGTTGATCGTCAGGGTGAGCGTAGTCCGGAATAGGAATTTTTTTGAACAGTTACTGACGTTTCGACAACCTGTGCGGTAGTCATGTTCAGAGTGAGTCAAAGTTAGTTGTATCACATCAGTTGATGGCATCAAACTCTAGTTACTGACCCGTTAGGTCAATTAAGTCGCGATGTTATCGGTTTTTAGTCTTCAAATTTGCGCTTTTTCGGTCTCAGCGTTCTAGTACGTGTTAGGTTTTTTGTTTGTGAATGTTCAGGTATTGGTTCTCTTAAAAAGAATTTTTTTTCGAGCATCCATATTTGCAACTGTTTCCTGTTCTGCTTGGCTGTTCCGTTCTCAAAGGAGTTCAGTTTCTGCAAAGTCAGTCAAAAAGACTGTTGATTCTGTACGGTGAAACATTAACAAGTTAAAGCCAAACTGTTAATACCAAAAATATTAATACCAAAATCTAACTCACCGATTATCTAGTCCAAGTTTCAAAGTCAAACCCTACGATTCTGCAGTCCTCCAAAATGTCGCAGGATAAAGTCACATAACAACACGACGTAAATCTGTAACGCAAATTGTCTTTCACACAGACGCTCCCAAAAAATACTTTTAAAGCGTGAGTGAAATATGCGAATTTGCCTTTTTGATCACTGAGGTTTGCACCTCTTCTCTTTCATCTTTGTGATCGACAGCTTTTGAATAACCGTGGGTGATCCCTGGCGTGTGAGAGACGGATGTAGCTATCAGGAGGCAGCGTGGCCGAGTGGTTAGAGCGCTGGTCTTGCAATTCGGAGGCCCAGAGTTCAAGTCCCGCTCTAACCGCTAGCTGGATTTGTTCTTGGTAGTCTCGAGTTCAAATCCTAGACCACGCTTGTAAATAGCCGACCGGTTTGTCTCCGGCCAGTTGGGATTCTTAACCCTGCTATGTTTCATTAGGCTGATTAAGCAACAGAACGGGAACGATAGTTGGCGTCGGGAAAGCGCGCGGAAAGGAGCATACGCGACTTCCGGTGCCCAATTTGCCGCTCTGTCATTGGTCGAGCCAGTTTCTCGATTTGCGCGCGCCGTCGTTAACTGGCGTTCCTATTCTGTTGCTAAATCCGGCCTATTATATTTGAATTCTTTGTTCAGTCACTAGCTCGGCCCCACTAGCATTAGTGCTATAAATACTGCCGAGGGTAAATAAAGGAATTATTTATTTATTTATTTGTTTATATAAACCAAAACTTAAGAGGTTCTTCATTTCAGGTGGGGTGAACTGCTAAGGAAAATACATCTATGGGTGGAAATACTTGAGATCAATGACCAAGGAGTGTATGCACCAGTCGAATTACATCTTCAAAAGGACAATCAAACAGGAGGCATTTTTCAACTACGGCAGGGTCACTCTCGGCGAATCAAGGTGCAAGTTCAGCCAGTGCCAAGGGCGGGGTCACTTCCGGTCGTGTGTAATATGATTTCCGCTGTGTACATTGGCAGTGTTTGTTTGAGGAACAAGAATCAACAGCCCTTGGATAGCTATCAAGAAAAGGACCTCTCAATGTAAGTATGCAGATGTGATTGTTTAAGAGCTTTTTTGCAATGAAATCTGAGTGTATTACTGAGAGATTTAGTTATTTATCTCTAAATATCGCTCTTGTTCCTTGTTTTGGTTTTCGCGTATTTTCATGTAACATATCAAGCATTATACGCTGTGTTTCATCACAAGATCAAACAAGGAGAGAAAGTTGAAAATATGATGCGCAGTGTAGTATTTTTGACGAATTTCTAGGAAATCGAATACTTCGTCGAATGTTTAATATTACCTCTCAAATGAAGTGATTTTAGAAAGAGAGATGAAGAATGCAATGATGAGGAGTTTGTCCAACTGATTTCCAAACGCTCATGAAACATTAATTTCCTTTGTATTTTCTTTACGAATTATTAATGATGTTGAGAGCTACTCGAGAACGAGCAAACAACTGCTCGTTTTGGCTTTGCAGTTTCAAAGTCCTCTTAGCTGTTTCTGTAAAGAGGAATATGAGTCGCCGAAGTACCAACCCTAGATGTGAATTGCATGTTGTGGAACAACTCCGTTATTCACCACGCTCTGAACATCAAGTTGAGAACACGGTGAAAAACTATGCCCGGCGTAATCGCAAGACTAAATTCCACAGTCAGTTGAAGACCGCTGTGTGTTAACTGGTTGCTTTTGTTTTGTTTTCTTATAGTCTGCGAGAGAAGTGGTCGACTTCACTAATGAAAAGGCGAGAGTACTTGGATGAACAGATTCACTCACTAATAGACAAACCAGGTTAGTGTTGCATATCCAGTCTCAGTGAATAAACTGAGGCAAACAACGTGCCTACCCACGGGTTTTTATTTATACGGGTTTTTATTTATAGTTAACCGACAAAGACTTGAGTATTAAATACGCACGACGGATGACTAGGCTACGCGAAATTAAGACCCCCAGAATGGAGTACATTGGTCTGCCAGCTGCGCGATAAATTGGCTTATTAATAAGTTTTAAATCTTTTTGTATTTATCTGAAATGACTATCCCCCTTCCCCCAAAAGTCAAGTAATCGTCCCAGTGCAGAAGGGATGGGACGCGCAACCCCCTCTTGGTTGGTTGCATGAACTCTACTCAAAACTTTATTGGGCTTTGCCACAGGCAACCCAATAGTGATACCGCAAAAAGCCCGTGAGACCATATCCAGCTTTGTTTCGTGAAAGCTACTTCATGGAATCGTTGTTCTCTGCTTTTCGTCCTTTGTTATAAAGATTGCTATGCTGTATTTTTTGCCACTTAAAACAGCAAGAGAGATTTAATGGCGTCTAACTTTGTTCGCTTGTTCATTCTTAGACAAGTCTGCCAGTGATAAAGAGAAAGAAAGCTGGATGATTGATCAGTGGGTCTGTTTAACTGAGGAGAGGAATGCTGTCCTCGTACCTGTTCGTGGTAGCGGAATTCCTGGCGCCCCTCCGCTTGAAGGGTGAGACTGCATCTGATATTAATACAAAAACAACTCTTTGTTGTGTCCAACTTGCAAATAAACGCCTCCCTCAAGCAAGTGCCGCCTTTGAGGCGTGAAAAATTTTATAAGCGCCGCGGTGCTTCCTCGAGTAAATACGACATATCTGCAGTGGTTAGCTATCCTCAATGAACCCCAGGTTAACGGAAGGTAATATTTGCGGGCAGAATGTTTGCATGCAACGTTTACTAGAACCCTGGGCAATTACTCTTACAAAACCAGTTCCAGTAGCATTTGACATTCCTCTGTCTGATTGGCTAGAAGGTCTTTCTTGGCCAATCAGAAGTGGAGAATTCAGAGCTTCTGGAAATGACTCCGTAAGTAAGTACTGAGGGGCTCTCTTGTTGCACTCGTAAACGCTCCCTTTCACGATTTAGCCCTTTAATTTCCTGCACTAATTAGCAGTTCCAGGGTCCCCGATGATGGGAATTAGGCAGCGGGAGGAGAGGACACGGGGTGTGTTGGCAATCTTTTATTCAAGGAAAAAATGAAAAAGAAAAAAAGACGGCATATACCTTCATAGTACCGCTTGTTTTTCGGAGCTTCCTTTTCTTAAGTGTTACTGTTGTTATTTACAGAACCGTACCGCTTGGAATGGAAAGGTTTAATCCAGTGATATTCCTGGATTTACAGAACGGTAAGGAAGCCGACTTATTCGAATTAACAGCAACGGCTTATTTTAGATGATTGTCTCTTAGATACAGAAGAATTTGACCCAACATTTCTAGCTCCTTTATTACATCCCCTGCAGTCCCGACCCTTGTGACTGAAGATGTTTTTTCTTTAATTTTCGTTTTCATTCAAATAACGTCTGGAACTCTGTGTGTACGGGGCAGATAACTTGTTTACTGAGAGTTAACTATTTACAAATTTCCGTCTCGCTATCTCTCTCCATTTCTGTGTCCTTGACTTCTTGGCAATAACAAGGAAAAAGAATAAAAATCATTTCTTTGGTCGCTAGTATCAGGGGTATCATTACTTTTGGTTGTTTTAGCTTGCATCGATATTTAACGTTATTTTCGGAACTTAAGGATAAATTTTATTTCTAGCGTACTTGTGGGTGTTTGATAAAGGAAAGTTATATCTTTTAATCTTTCTTGTAAACAGACGAAGTAAGAAGTGGTTGTATGGAGGAAGCAGGTCCCGCTGGCGTGGACTCAACTCTCATTTTTGAAAATTCTGATAACATGATGGAACTTCCGATTATCAAGTACGACCAAAAACAGGTATGAAAACGTCGAAACAAAAAGGTACAGATCTCTTTGGCGCTTTGTTCTGCGACTGTCACTACAAAGCTGGTCACCATTGACGAGACCACATGAATTTCCTATGGAATCTTAGGGGTTCGTTTGAATGTCAGGTCCTGTTGTGATTGGTCAGAGTAACTAAATAGATTTTACCTTTTTAGGTCATTGAATAACCGTTCTGTTGAACTAACACATGTATTGCCTCGCAGGTGTCCGCCACAATGTTGTGGGACTCGTCAATCCATGACTCCGCTTTCCTCAACCGAGTCACACAATCGCATGAACGAGTCTACCTTATTTTAAAGGTAAGTTCCCTCAAAACTTGCAGAAATACCAGCAAGCGCGAATTTCGAAGGAAGCATGGAGCTTGAGTCACGCACTGATCTTGCAATGTTGCCTGCTTTGAGGCTTTTGCGGGAAAACGTTTTCGTTGTCACGTGTCATTGTGACTTCAAAGAAGCCAATGAAGACACGAGCTGATAGCCAAAATTCCAGTGATCGGACAAATGTTTGCTTAGTATATGTGATGGTGGTTTCGTATTTATACTGCTAGTGACTTACTTTTTCCTTGTTTTTACAGGTCATAGTCCGTCTTGCCAGTCCCATCTCAATGGATTTGGTTCTTAGAAAACGAATTTCTGTCAAAGTATATAAGAGGCAAAGTTGGAAAGACAGTCTGCTGAAAAAAATAACCAGGGTAAGCACTTTCACATTATTCGCCACTCCAGAAATTTTAAGGGGAATGGGTACAAGCTTTCAGCGCAACGATTTTTGGGTTCGTTTGGGTGGACAAGCGTTAGTTATGATTGGTTGATGGTATTCAAGGCCAACATTAACCAATCACAAGTAACGTTTTTCCAACCTAATGGTTCCAGAAATCGTTGCGCCGAAAGCTTGTATCCATCTCCCTTATTTTCTCCCTTACAGTTTCTGGAGTGGTGAATTATTGTTCTGATAAACGGTGGTGAATGGATTTGATATTTTAAAATAGCACTTTGTGTTTCCTACTGGGACAACAGATAAGACCCAGGGATGAGGGATTTTTTGTAACTATGCAACAAACGGTACTAAATGAAAGCAGTAGTGAATGAAATGAATTAAACTGAACGCGCGTGCATTGGTAAACGCATGCAACGCGTGCAGAGGCGGGTACGCGCACTTTATTCCGGAGGCCTTGAGGCGATAACAACGCAAAATGAAAGGTTTGATGCACGAAAACGGGTCTCCGTATGTATACCTTTGATATAATTACATCTTGTAAACTCTGCAAAGCTACCTTTTATGTCCAGGATACAATGATCATGTGTGTGAAAATACAAGGTGAACACATGCCTTGTTTGTTCTGCTCTTTTATCTCACGAGCTCGAGCTAACTAAGCTCCCACTGTCTTGTTCTAACATTTCAGGATATCATTACAAGATGCGGGGTGACATACGAACTTGTGTCGCACATTCCGCGAGTAAGTAAATTTTGTTACTTTCAGCTAGAATGAGAGGGACGAATTACTGTCACTTATTCTTGCTTTTTCTTGTTAATTAGAGAAATGGAAGTACCGGTTGAATACCATGTTTGCCATTCCTTGCACGCCGATCGCGCCACTTACCAGTCCCCCCTCCCCAGGCCTTATCACCCGCACTCCCTTAGTCTGAAATGTCATACATCTCCACCCCTAACCCCGTGGGGGGTTGGGGGGGGGGGGGGGTAAGTTAGTAAATTTTGTTTGTTTCAGGTAGAAAGGGGGGGACGAAATACTTTCACTTTTTTTTGCTTTTTCTTGTTTATTAGCGGAATGGAAGGTCCGGTTGAATACCATTTTTGCCATTCCCTTCACGCCGTTCCCGCCCCTTTCCCGTGCCCCCTCCCCCGGCCTTTTCACCCGCACTCCCTTTGTCTGAAATGTCATACCTCTCCCCCCCCAACCCCGTGGGGGGTTGGGGGGGGGGGGTGATACCAGTTATTGATTATTCTTGTTTCTTTTTTACAGCAACCTGGAGAAGAAACGGAAGAAAGAGAGAACTTGGCGCAGATGGCCGCACAAGCTGTAGGGGAGGGTGAGGAGGAGGATGAATCTGTACTGAGAAAGTACAGTAAAGGAATCTCACATGTGGAGAGCTTGCTGGCACTGGATCGGCTGAGACAGGTAAAACCATCCTGTTCAACATGAACAGCGACACAGAGAAAATACTGCCTTCTAACTTTTATTTGATTGGCTGTAAAGTAAACACCCACGTATAAGAAGTACTTCTCAGTAGCTTGCATTTGAATGGTCACTCTACTGGATTTCATCCACAGACTCAAAGTTAGAACTACTTTGTACAGCGTAATAAACAGTACCACAGGAAAGTACATGTACTTCTTAGTAGCTTCCTTTTGAATGGTAACACTTTGGGTTTTTTGCGGTTGTTAAGTAAGAGAGGCATCCTTGTTGGGAAAATGACAATCACAGTCAGAGTTTCTTTGTCTTTTACAGGAAGTTATGGTGAAGGAGAAACTTGCCGCTATCGGAAAACCGCTCAGAAAGTTTGCCAGCACTCCAAATTTGGCAGCTGCGGTAATTTATATGTATTTTTTTAATCTTCGTCTCTGTTTCTTTATTCATCAAGCATACTATAGTGACAGTCGTGGCAATTTTTTGTTTGTTTGAAGTCTGTTAGTATAGTGTTAGCTGTCGTAAGCGGACACCCTCTTGTTACAGGAGCAACTAGAGATTGAGATGTACTAAGGGTCAAATAGCCGCTTACGGGAGCTTGACCAACTACTAAAAGAAAACAAAAAAGGTGTTTGTTAGCGTTTGGCTATACTGTTGTTCTAAAAATGTTGTAATTCAGTCAACAGCGTAAAATTCAAGTGGTGTTGTGAAGTGTAACCGGACGTGGATGGACCTGTATGTAAAAAAAAAACCCTTTAAAACTGATACATGCATAATTTGATTGTTGTTAACTGCGATATGTAGTTAATATACAATAGACGTGTTCAAATGGAAAGAAAAGGGTTCAGAAACTTATCCGATATGCGACGAACCACTTTCAATATCGACGCAGTGCCGTGCAGCTTCGCTCCGTTCCAGAAACCTCTCCGAAATCACCCTTTTTATATCACCGTTTTTAATTGTGAATAAAAGCCCTATCCGATATGGTTTTCGTACTATTCGGTACAGTGCAGAAATAGCTGTAATATGAACTGTACTTCTTGTTTACAGTCGAGTGATCTCTCCTTCGGTGACAGCGGAGGCAGTCGTTTCGATTCTCCAGAAAGTAATAAACTTTGGAACTTAAGGGTAAGCCTAATCGCTCGTTTGGTTCTTACAAGCCATCACTGACTATATTTCTGTGTGATCGCTACCCGAGGGTGGGGGGTACTTCCTAGTAACAGGCTAATGGGGATGTGCCGCTGGATGGGGTCGCATTTTCGCGGGTGGATTGACTATAATGGGGTGGCATTTTCAATAGAGTTACTAGAATGGGATCTCAAATTTTCGGGGGTAGGAGATCAGTAAATTCAGGTAGGTACGGATTTAAAGATAGGAAGATTTTTAATTCATTAAGTTTATTTCAGGATGACCTAGTTGAAAGGCTAGTATAAGTTAGATGCATAAAAAAAAGTTACTAATTTTTGATCGGGAAAAATATGTTTTCCCCAAAGTGACTAAGATGGGGTCTATATTTGGCCACAGAATAGACTATAATGGGGTAGGGATTCTGAGAGGCCAGCGGCACATACCCCCGAAAAATTAACCCGAGTAACCCCCCGGGGATCGCTAGTATGATATTGAAAGAATTATAGGAAATGTCATCTGCGGTCAGTCATAATTGACACTATTTTTCTCAAAAGTCGTCAACATCGAGCGCCTACCACGGGGGGCAATCTTGGTTTCAAATATACCGACAGGGCGGGCCCTGGAGTTTATAGCAATGGGGGAAGGGAGGTGAGAACTTAACTCATGAACTTAACTCGTGAAGTTTAGTTCGTCTCATGAAAAGTTGGCCTTGGCCTTAATTCATTCTGTCACTTGCCAATTCCATACTTACTCCCCGCAAAAAAAAAGTCTGGGGACTGACAAGGCCGATGCTTCCATTAAAGGGAGGCGTCATGGTCAATTTCTTTGACGTAACATTACCTGACTGTAAGAATGATATGTCCTTTTTTGGTTGGGGGCGTAATAGCCAACAAAGTGAGATTGCAAGGGAAGAGACTGATGGAGGGTTTTTTTTCCCCTGACTTGACCTATGTGTCTTTTTATCTCCTCAGAGTAATAACCGGAGTGATTTCCTTCTTCCTGGGAGTTTCACGGATCCACGACCGACAAGGCCAACCAAAGAAGAAGTGCTAAATGATCTCGCGCAACTCAGCGAACAGTTTGTCTCGTCTCCTCAAAACTCGTCCGGTGTAGTGATGCGAAATTCAGGCGAAAGATCAAACTCGCGTCCCAACTCGCGTCCCAATTCGCTCCTGATAGATCTTGAACCTCTCAAGGAAGACGAAACTCCTGCGCCGAGTCCTCAAGTCAAGAAAAACCCTGCAGCGTTGTTCGACTTTGAGGAATCCTCAAAGCAGGAGTCGACTGCCGACGGAACGGACAGCCCTGTTTCGGACGATCTTCGAGAGCGTTCGGTTAGTGCTGATACGTTGACGTTCGAAGATCCCTTGACTCCCACGCCGTCAGGCGAAAATATCTCAACTCCTCAATCGGATTCAAAAGAAGTGAAATCAGTTGAGAAGGAGAAGCTTATTGATTTAAGTTTTGCTGGTACGGACAATGAGAAAGTCAGCAAGCAGCTGAATCTGCTTGGATTAAAAGATTTGTTAGATGGGGATGAAGATGAAGAAGAGGACGAGTCTTCGTCGCTGATTATAGAACCGACAGAGGAAAAACCAGGAATTGCTGTGCCACAAAACGAACAAAAACGAAGTTCTAAGGAGGATCTGTTAGGTTCTTCGTACGATTCGGACGACTTCAAATTCAGCTCGCTTGATAGTCTAGGAGATTTAAAAATGGGACAAGTGATTTGTATCGGGGATAAGAAGACGGGAAGGATCAGATATATCGGACCGACAGAGTTTGCTCCTGGGGTATGGATTGGAGTTGAGCTTGATACACCCTCAGGTACGAGAGTCTGTATTATGCAATTAGCAGTTTAAGCTCATGAGCGTAGTCTTACTTAATCGCGCGAGAAAACGCGTTTCGTCTTCATGGAAGGTTATCGAGCGATTTGACGAAATCACCGAAACACCCTCATGTCATGAGGGAGAAGGGATTAGGTAAAACTGGTAGTGTAGGATTCTATAGACGTGGCATTGTTTTACTTGTCAAGATAAGTGTGTAAACCCTGTGATATAAAAACTGTGTACCAGAAAAAGTAGCAAACACACGAGCAAGAACTTTGGAGATCCAGCCACTCGTTAGAATGTACCTAACACGGACCGTGTTTAAGTTATATAACTATTCGCTGACTATGGAAGTTGTTCACAGGAAAACATGAAATTGTTTTTTACTTTAAATGTTGAGCCTAATGAATTAGGGACCTTAAGATACACCCGCCATTTCCAGGTACGGTCAAAGCCGGGGAAAAGCCTCACTTCCGATTAACGTGCGTCGCTCAAAAACGTCCTTGCTAAACCCTTTAAAACCTAAGATTAAAATTTGAATTCTCATTTGTTGCTCCTATTCATTTCCTACAGAAGTAGTGGGGAGAAGTTGATAAAATATCAAGCAAATTCATCTTGTGTGATCATGTCCATAATTCTCATGACCACTCTGTTTTACAAAGCATTGATATTACAAGGAGAAATTTTGATGCTGATCACTCTTAGGGATTAAAGTGTTAAGCAGCCGCCTCTTTTCAGGAGAAACGGCCAGGCAGCCTGGTAGAACAGTGATGTCTGAATCACATTTGGGAAGTCTTGGTTGCCATTTATATTACTACGTGATATTGCTACATGTTCACCTATCCGTACCTATAGGTAGAAAAGGTGTATTTTAAGGTCCTTATTATTTAGCTTTCGGCATTTTAATCGGATTACAGTGTTCTCCCTAAATTTTAGCTCAGCAGGTAGGGGATCATTTATAGCCGGTAAGGCAAAAAATATGCACTACGGAGGTGCACTTTTCCGTGGGCAGGGGGATAGTGGAGTGCGGGACATGGTCCCGCCCTTAATGGGAAATTTAGGAGATAAAAGTACTCGTTTAATTTTAGTAAACCTTCAGGCCGTTGCAGGCGGAAAGAAGTGTTGCTTCAGGCGGTAAATTTTACCGGTTACCGCCTGATAAGGAGAACACTGGGGCCCGATTAGAGGTCTTCTAACCAAAATCATTTTTAGTGCCCTAGAGAAGTTGTTTAAAACAAAACCAGATTTTTGGTTCCGGCCTCCTTGTTTCGTGAAAAAGGCATGGTACAGTGAAAACTCGATACCACGAACCTCTATATAACAAAGTCCTTGATATAACGAACAGTATTCCTCGCCCCAGTAATAGTGAAATATATGTATCAGAACCTCGATATAACGAAACCTCGTAAAAACGAACATATTTCGCGTAAGTCGTTGTTGCAACTTAGTGTCACTAATTTATACATTTTTCTTCTTCAAACCAGGAAAAAATGATGGATCCGTGGACGGGCAACGATATTTCGCCTGCAAACCGAGATATGGTTCATTTGTAAAGCCAGAAAAGTGTTTTCCCATCGACTCAGTGAAAAAAGAAGCCCCGGCACTTGCTCCGAAAAACACTGGGCGTAGCAATAGCCCCTCAAGAAGCCCTCATGCTATGCGACAACAAACAAGGGATAATCGGCGAAAGAATGAATGGAAAAGGAGGTCAAACATTCTGTTTTAAATAGATACGGTTTTGTGATGTGAGTAGAGCATTGGGCTTCGAAACTTTCTACAATTGACAACCTGAGGTCGAAGAAATGTCTTACGAGAGGTCAGCCTATTTTTTGAGATATTTTTCAGCAAGCAGCCTGGTTCGGTTGGGCGATTTAAATTTACTTGAGATCTGGTACCAGAAAATCGAAGATAAGATCGTTGCAACATCAACAGTGCAAAGAAGGCGTCAACAAATCCTACATAACATTAACCTCGCTCATCGTGATAAGCTGCAGATAATAATCAAGAAACCAAAAGGACTGCTTTTAATCGTAAGATTTTGATTTGAATATTTAATTCCTGGCCCAAAAAGTTACCGGGCTTTTCGAGAAATGGTAGAGACGAGTGTAAGAATTGGTAACCAAACCGAACCAAAGTAAACCTTTTATGTATGATGGTCTACCGAAGGGACCTTACCCGTTCTTTTCTAGATTAAAGGGGAGTTAGAAGACAATATAAGGAGCCACGAGTCTGGGTTCAGCTACTTGAGTGAACTGGGTAGTGAAATATTATTCAATATTGGTTACACCTGTAAATTTAAATTTTTTATTATCACGAGATAAATAAACATGAGAAACAGCCGACATTTCTCCACGCTACCATTGGTTTCCCGCGAAATGACGTGTGAGGAACGCGCACAGAAATTCCAGACTGATGGTATGTCACTACCCGGATCTCGGCAGTGCTTCTGATTGGTCGAAGCAAATTTCCCTCGAAGTACGACCAATGAGGAGCTCGGTTCTTAGACTTCATTTTGCAGGGAAACCAGTAGTGGTGTTGTTTTCTTAGGCTGGGGATAAACATATTTTAACAGTATCAGATGTTGACAAATAGATGTTAAAAATTTTTCGGTTTGTTCGAAAACTAATAGTCAAGTTCAAACCAGTTGTGATGCATAACGAGTAAATCTGAGGTTGTGAAGTAAACAACATTGTTTCCCTTCGGAAGGGTACCACTAACGTCTGATAATTTAAGAATATTTTTATTGACGTATGTCATCATTTAGTGAATGGAAGAGTCATGAAGTTATTTTTGGCCACTCCAAGTCTAGCGGTTTGTTTGTAAAGATGTTTCGTCATAAAAGATCCTGACTGGGGTGTTACGACTTGTTAGTAAACATTTTGACATAAAGAGAACACTTTTTACTGCAAGGTAAATGAAACACATCCTGCCAGCAGAGCTTTTCTTTCGCTTCCTCAATTTTGGCGTACTCAGAAAAACTACCTGAATCGAGTAAGATCAAACCCAGGCCTTATAGCCGTACGATTGGCGCAGTGGGCTCAGTTATGACTATCGGTTTATCATTAAAAGGATGCTCGCTCTAGAAAAAACTGGTTTGACGAGAGGAAACAAGATTGACTGGTCCAGAAGTTTGGACTGCGGTGACGTCAAAGGCCTTAAGGAAGCTCTGCTCGCATGGTGAATGAAATAGAACCGAATGAAAATATTTCCCGTGCGAGAATTGATCATCTTTGTGTACCGCTGCTCTGAAATAAGTAGAGTTTTGAGTGGGTTGTCAATGAATTATCAGGAATTATATATTTATTTAAACACGTTAAAAGATTTGTAGCGATTTATATTTAAGCAAAATAACTATAAAGGTAGAGGATTTAATGTGGTCTAGTTGGACAGTTTAGCGTTCAGTAATCTCGCCGCAAATGTGAGCCCCAAAGGATCAGCCGAACATGTCTCGCAAAGGAAACATTTATAAACGACTTCCGTTTTCATAAACGACCACACAACTGAAATAAAAATATTTTGGGAGTAAAACACTTGTGGAAACGTAATTGGGAGGCCTAGTTGCCTAGTTTATAATGATGATAACTGCCCATTATAATGCAATATTTTGAGGCTTAACCAAAATGTAGTTATAGTAAAGGTGGAGGTTAATTATGGCAATGAAATCGTTGAATATAGATTGTTCACTGTCCCCTGTCGAAATTTGGCGTTTCGGGCGGCCATCTTGGATGAGTGTCAAATCTACTTAGGGGACGGGTACGGTTTGGGAGGAAGGGAGAAAGATATTTTTCTCCTTGTTCCCCCCACCGCTATAAAACGCGACCCCCACCCACTCGGTACATGGAAAACCAAGATGGCCGTCTGTACCGGTGAGCGCTCGATCCTGCGAGCTAGCGAGAAAACAGGGGACTGTCAATAGTCTACGTTGACTGTCTTGATGATGTTGAATGTCTGATAATAAAGTCCATTTTAACTCTTTGCAGCCGTTACGAGCTGTTTGGAGACAATTTCTCATAACAAGACATAGTTTATGTACAGGAGGTTTTTCTTAACTGTTAGGAGGAGCTGTAGTTTTTCAATGAATTTTGTATAGAAACTGAAATTAAAGTTACGTTAATTAAACTGTAGTCTGCTCTCTTAGCTGATTGGCTGTTATAACTCCAATAAAGGGGGTGTGGGCTGCCCTGTCACTCGTTCCTTGCTCCCGGTTATGGCTATTATGCAACCTCGTCCCCAGGGCTTTTCCCTTAAAAAATGGGTGGGGCGGGAAAAACACTCCCGCTAGTCTGCTACACAGCCCCAAAGTGGGGAGGAGCGTTGCGTGACGACACTAAAAACGGCTGTGTGGCAGACTACACTCCCGCATGACCTGTCATTTTTTCCTCGCTCCGGGCTGTGGCGAATGTGGCCGCACCTTTTTTGGGTTAATGTTCTTGTGTATCTGTATTTTCCTGACTTTATACATTGTATGGTGTAATTGAATAAACTGGCCAAATTCATCCCATAATGGGTTTGTCATTATTTTGTATCCCAGCAAAAACAGAGCTCACCAACATCATTAATGAGCTAAGAAATGTGTAACGACCATAGACTGTAGGCAAAACCCGGCGAAATGACTCCCACATGGCTATTTAAGCCAAACTGGATCGAGACAGATGTTTTAACCTGCAGAGTTATTATCTATGGAACTTTTGCCAGTTTGATGATTTTCATACGATGCAGTTTTGTGTTAGTGACCAGAATAAATTTATAAAGCAAACTTTCAGTACATTCAGTTTTTTTCAGTTTGATGATTATCATACGATGTACTTTTGTCTTAGTGGCCAGAATAAATTTAAGCCAACTTTAGAATAGTATTTTTCTTCCTGAGATTTTTTGGTTGTTGCTGTTTATGTTGCGCTTTTGTTGGCTTAGGATTAGGCAAAGTCCGTGTCTTAAATTCTTGGATTTCGGAAGCATGGACCTCGTAAACCTATCTTTTGTTGCATTTATGGCTGTCCATAGTTTAATTGTTCTTAATGCATTCGAAATTTCTTTGAGTGCTGATAAAAAAGTTTCTATGATTGATTTAGACTAATGTACGTTACCGTCAACAAAAGACCTGACAAAACGAAGCCATTCGTTAATTAACTTTCTTGTCTTAAAAATGAATAAAACTGTTTTGTCGCCAGCTGATGAGCCTTTCATTCATCACCTTTAATTGTTAGTTTTTGTTTTAGTAATAGCTAGGTCTGATTATTTTATTTGCTCAATCTTGTCAAGCCGTAATTTTCAATATTTACAAGGACCGCCAAGAAAGGTTTAGAGGTCGGTAACCACTCGCAAAAAGCACCAATTGACTTTTTGGGTAGTCTTCAAAGGTATGTGGAACTGTCGTATATGAAACGGTCTGTATAAAATTTACACAACTCTGTCTCAGCCTGTTAGAAAGCCAATCTTAGCTAAATGGCGGCCAAAGTTAAAGTTGTATCATGCAATATAAACTTTGGCTGCCATCTAAACTGGCCGCGGTTTCTAAATTATTTACAAGGGAACATCCTAATGAAAAAAAAACCAAGAATTAAAGTAATCTGATTCGATGATTTGGTACAGTGTCTCCCCAAGTGAAAAGCTGTGTTTATGACAATTTTGTTTATGATGGTTTAAGTTTTAGTTTATGATAACCGTTCATTACTTTTTTTGTCGCGGTCAATTTTACTTAAAATAGGTAGATAGATGTCTTTTATTAGGAAAAAATTAAGGGAATTCTTGCATGTGAAAGTGACATCGTCGGAGGCGATTTTTACACCATAACTGTAAAACTCTTTGCGGCCGGCACTATAACCATGCCAGATAGGGTTTCTGTTCATGGCATAAGAACAGTGATTTTTACGCGGTTTCTGCGAAGCAGCGTCGCGTCGATCTTAAAAGTGGATCGTCACATGCATATCGGATAGGTTTCTGTGCCACAGTGTGGACAGGTGTTCATACTATACAGAAGAGCGTTGTAATTTCATGTTGACATAAAAAGCCTGGGGGGTCCTCCCTTACATTTGCCTTATACGTATAAGCTGCCCCGTTGGCGGTTTTCGAAGGAACACGGTAGTTCTTGAACGTATTTTTCGCCTCAATTCCAAATGAATAAGAAAGAAAGAGTAATATGCGAATTCGAAATGGACTTTAAGAAATCTTTTTGTTGGCGTTCTAATCTAAGTAATGATAACATAATTTCTGCTTACGCCAGGTCTGGAAACGGGTATTGATCTAAGAGGCCAGGTCTGAAAAAGAGTGTGGAAAATGACAATCTTTTGGTCTGAAATAGGGCTAGGATTTAGAGAACCAAAGGTACGGAAAAATGGGCAACAAAAAACGTGCAACTTGTCTTGCAACATCGCTGCAAAACGAGTTGAATAGCGATATTGCGCGTTTTACCACCCACGATCAAACCCATTAACAAGTTTGTTGCAAGACAGGTTTGATGTGGGCGGTAAAAATTGCAACATCGCTATTCAACTCGTTCTGCGGCAATGTTGCAAGGCAAGTTGCACGTTTTTTGTTGCCCATTTTTCCGTACCTTTATGAATAGAACTAATGAACAGTAAACAACAAGTAAACGGGAAAGTTGGTCACGTGGTACAAATTCGCGTTTGCCGTTCGACGTAAACGTGATGCTTAACCTACTTAGGGCCTGTTAACATGGAGGTGGGGGACCCCAGATAGGCGAGGTAACCCGCCTGTCCATATAATCTC